TCTATCTCTCTATCTCTATCTCTATCTCTATCTCTATCTCTATCTCTATCTCTATCTCTATCTCTATCTCTATCTCTATCTCTATCTCTATCTCTATCTCTGTATCTATCTATTTACCTATTCGGTTCTATTCTATCCTATTATATTGTATTCTATTCTATTTCTGTTCCGTTCTAATTTATTTCTATTCCATTTTGTTCTGTTCTGTTCTGTTCTATTCTATTCTATTCTATTCTATTCTGTTGTATTCTATCTATCTTTCTGTCTTTCTATTCTATTCTATCTATCTTTCTATATTTCTATTCGTTCTACCTATCTATCTATCTATCTATCTATCTTTCTATCTATCTATTTGTCTATTTATCTATCTATCTATCTATCTATCTACCTATCTATCTATCTATCTATCTATTACATATTGTATATTGTATAAATACTACAATTTGCAATGTATAATATGAATATTTAGGATATGGCATATTATATGTTATATATTACATATTGCATACAGAAAGCAGTCCGTAGCAAACGTTCCCGTGGGGCGACGTTGGCAGTGGGAGTTTCTGCAAGGGAATCGGGCGACTTCGACCTGCCTGTCGACCTGTGAGACCCTGAGAGGTGGCAAGGCTTTTCTTTTCCGGAAGAGCCAAGACACGTGTGGCTGAGGTCGACGTTGATTGCCTGCTTGCCAGAAGGCGGCTCGGATGAGGTGATTGCCGAGGCCGTCGAAGTCAAGATGGGGATCATTTCGGTGATCACCTGAGCTTCTGTGGATGAAACATACGAGGTGCAGACCGATCCTTTGTCAGCTGGACCAGGCTCATCCTCTCGCATCCTTAGACGCACTTGCTCACTGGCAGCCACGATAGTGGCAGCACATAGCGAACCTTGCATGGTAGTGTCTTTGCTATTCTAGGGGAAGCTGCGCAGGGGTGGTACTAGGAGCGGAGGAAGGGGCAGGGTGTAGGAGCGGGAGTAGCAGTAGGGTAGTGGGAGTAGCAGAAGGAGGACTGAGGTAGGAGGAGGTAGGAGGTGGTGGTAGTCGTAGTAGGCAGTGGTAGTAGTTCCCGGATCGCGGGCATGTTGCAATCATACTCGGGGGAAGTATGTTTAAACAGTGCGCGTAACGATGCAATGTAATGTAGTGCACCATCATGCGCCTGCTGCCTGGGTTTTCCGTTGTTTCTGGTTTTGTTTAGGAGTGCAGTTGCCAGTAGGGTGGTCGTGTCGTCGCCGTTTCGGCATTGGCTTTGGAGTCATGATGGCATTGCTTGGTGCGGAGGCATCACCTTGTTGGCTACCCTCACATCTTTCTGCTGGAGCTCGAGTCACGGTGAGGTGGCCTGGTGAGAGGGCATGTTCCATGGCCCCGCAACTTGTAAGGGTTTGTCGATTCGTGCTCCTGTCTTTGTGCCCAGGCGCTCTGTTGGCCCATCCGTGCCTTCGCCCAATGTCAGTGTTGTTTCTCTATCCGTCAGGATTTGTTGCCCGGTCGTCCACGAGATGCAGACATCTGGGCTTCAGGCAGGCCAGAGCTACCCGATCAACAGGGCTGTGCAGTCGTATTCAGACTGTGACTGCTGGCCGAAGTTCATCAAGCCCTCAGCCCTCAGCATACACGGCCGCACGCAGGGGCACGGCTCCTCGCTGTGGGTCTCAGGCACCTCTTCCCCAGCGGATTCTGTCGTGTCTGAGTCGTCGTGGTGGGAGAACGGTGACAGTGACGATGCCGACGTTGAAGTGGAAGGCTCTGGCGGCTGTCCATCGAGATTCGCTCCATCAGGCCTTCGACAGCTCCCCTTCGGCTCGTAAAAAAAGACACTTCCGGATATCGCGTCTTCCAGGCTTACTGCGCGGGACGCGAAGGTGTATGTCACCTACTCCTACCCGCCAGGGCCTCTTGGCCTTCGTCCCACCGGTGATGGAGAGATTTCCTTCGAGGGCCGTGAGACACCCTCCTAGTCTGGTCCTTCTCAGCAACACCCAGTGGGTCCCAAGAGGTCCTGGCCAGGTGTGTCTTCCTTTGCAAAGACGAAGCGACTCCCTTTTTTGGCCCCGAGGCCCCTGCGCCAGCCGAGAGCTTTCCGGACAAATCCGCCAAGGGCTCAGAGTGACTCAGCGCCTTGGAAGGCCCTTTCCATGCTTGTCCGCCTTTTCCCTTAGGCCGGCACCGGCACGAAAGAAGGCCTAAACCTAAGCTCAAGCTTTGCCTTGTCTGTGCTGTGTCTCGACCGGTGAAAGGTAACACTGAACCTGCCGCACTCTTTCGCTGCCCACACCTTAACAGCGAGCTTCGATGAACTCGAGGCACCGGGTTGACTCAACACTGCGAAGCCGGGTCCACTGCCATCCTGTGCAGAGGTGCTTCTAGAGGAGCCACTGGTTGCAGAGGCAGAGAATGAGAACGGTTGGGCAACCGCTGGACCGAGCTGTTCGCTGGACGCAGGTTTGGCACCGCGATCTGTACCGGAAGGAATTGATCTGTTGCACGCTGCATCGTGCTGCGCTGATTCTTGTAGCACGTTCAGAGAAAGGACAGTGCAGTGGGCACTGTGGAGGCTTCGCTGCGTGTGCCCCCCATTTTGCTCAGTTGTCTGGCATTGTCCACTCCGGCTGATGTGTTGAGATAAACTGCGTAAACTGCAATCTGCCTGCTTGGCAGCCTGTCTCTCTTGCAGCCTTTCCGGCCCAAGCCCTGCGAATTGTAGGTTCCTTGGCCTTGGCAGAATGTCAGATCAAGATCAGGAGGAGGAGACGGAGTTCATTGAGGACGTGGGTGATGAGGAGACGAATGAGCAGGCCTGCAAGGGTGTTGCATCTTGGGTAAAGTGTCGAGACTACTTTAGGACTTAGGCCCCAGGCCTTTGGCTGTCTTATCGATGAATGATGCTCATGTGAATGTGCGGGCTAATCGTTAAAAAGGATGAGGAGTACGAAGATTCCTGCATGATAATGATAACGACGCCGGCCACGTGTTTGATGATGACTCAAGATCAATAAGGCAACGGGTAAGCTTATCTACAGAATCTGACGATGACGATGTTCAGGATCAGGAAGATCACCAGCGATGATGACGAAGTTGATGATAATAATGGTGAGTGACGCTGATTGCCATGACTCTACTAACTGTAACGGTTGTTGTGATTGCCGGTCTTTGTTGTTTATTGGTACCATGTCCATCAGAAATGACAATTCAAGCATGATTATGTTTACTGCTGCATGTGGAAGTCGCCTTTGGAAAGCAACCAGGCGGGTGAGGAGGAATCCGAAGCTTCCGACAGCAACTCGGAGGTGGTAGAGGTCGAAGCAGATCTCGCCCTAGAAAAGTACGAGGTCGGGGCCGTGCCATGTAGTTCTGCCTGAGTACCATGACTGCCCCTGAAGGTTGTCTACGATCAAAGCATTGACAAGGTTTCTTTCCCAGCCGAGGTGGTTGAGGAGGTTCAGAGCACGTGGGAGGCTTTCTTGAATCACGCAGGTTCGCCAGAAGCCGCGGGCGAGATCATCTTTAATAGCTGGTGGGAAGCAGCTCCATCCCTCCATGCGTATTTTGTCTCACCTCGAGCCGTCTTGTTCCTTCGCATCGTGCAAGGAATTAGTCCTGTGGTCGCAGCCATGGGAAACCCTTCCTTGTTGAAGAATGAAGTCGAACAAATCGCTTTTCGGCACCTGGACAGACCAGTGAAACCAGCTGCAGTCGACATCGTGCGGGAAGCCATGTTGGACATGTGGGAGCAGGAGTTGGGCCCAAATATTTTCAACACGAGGGCTCGCAAAGGATGGCAGTGCCTCTTGAACTACATGGGTGGCGCCTACTGCTTCGTAGGCCGGGAGTACGCCTCCCGTGTTCGAATCATCCAGAGGAGCTGGCGGACTGCCACATCCAAAGCTGCCGAGGATTTGGAAGAGGGCGAGATAGAGCTCCTTCAAGTAGATGAGGACAACAACAAAGTGGAAGAGGTGATGGAAGACGAGGATTCTCCGAAAGAGCACCGGCAAAGAGACATCGATGAGGAGTCTGACCTTGGTGGTAAAGCTGCAGGGAAAGAAGTGAAGGTGCCAAACACCTTCAAAGATATGTTTTTGTTCAATGCCGCTGTCATGGGTTTTGGCACCAGTAACTGGATGAGCCTGATTCTGGAGCAGTTCGACGCCATCGTGATGAATGTGGCGAACTCGTACCGTTTAAGCGAGGAGTGCGACGTCCTTACCTTGGTCCTTTCGAAGTACGAGGGCAATATCCTTCTGAACGAATATCGTTCGGTTATGCTCGCCACCCTGCGTTCACTTGCACCCAAGGAGTGGGACAGTGACCATGAGGCGTGAGGTTGGGTTTCAAGATATGTGTAAGGCCTGCTTGGGGAGGTTTGCTAGGTCGGCTAAGAGATTCTCGAGGTGGCGTGGGGCTGGTTGTGGGAGAACGTGGAGAAGATACTCAAGGCCAGAGGCAGCCTTCGAGCACAAGTTGCTGCTCCAGCCGAAACATGCTGCATTTCATGCGTCGGTATGTCTACATACGGAAGTAAACGTCAAGGATTGTCAAAGCATGTGCTCGTAGACTGCATTTGTCAAGATGATGTCGAGCTGAATAGGAGAGAGTTCTGCATCCGGCCTGCCAGTCCGTACTACTACTACTACTACTACTACTACTACTACTAACCACATACCACCACCACACCACCACCACCACCTACCGCCACCACCACCACCAGCACCACCACCACCGCCACCACCACCACCAGCACCACTACCAACACCAGCACCACCACCACTGCCACCTCTACCACAGCTACTACTGCTACTAGTATTGCTAATGCTGCTGCTCCTGTTGCTGCGACGGTGACGACGGCCACGACGACTGTTGCTGCTGCTGCTGGGCCCTAATGCCGCTGTTTTCGCCGCTCCTGTTGCTGCTTTTTTCATGTTAAAAGCTGATAGCCAGCAAAGTCATCATGGGAACAGGAACTGATCAGAAACCATGAGGCTACATAAGTATCGTGCTTTAACGTCTTCGTTCTAATTCTCGTAGTTTCGCTAGCCGGTTGATCGTCTGCACATGTTAGCGTCGTGCCAGATCATCATTGTGTTTGGCATGGGAACACATGCTCAGAATTCTTGTGGAGCCCTGGTGCTTCCTCCTGTCCAGGGCCAGCTGGGGAAGCCCAAAACCCAGGAGAAGGCGCTTGAGCGCTTCATTAGCAACCTTTCCCAAGACATGGTGGACTATTTCCGCAAAGAGCTCTACAAGCGATTCTTCCAGAATGCACCCTCAGGCCATGTCCCAGGGGGCATTCTAGGGCTTTGGGTTTTGCGTGTTCCGGTTTGGGCATCTCGGTGTGTGGTTTGCTGTACCAAAATCAAAGAGACCACAAAGGACTGCAATGACGGAATTCGAGAGAAGTAAGTAAGCCATCCATGTTCCTGTTTCTTTCGGCTCGTATCAACCAGTAGGTGAAAGATTCGATATGATTTGAGTGATTACAAAGGTTCAGAGGTTTTAAAAAGTACCCATTATGTTCGGAGGCGTGCGACAGAAAGCAAATCGAAGAGAACCCAACATGCCAAACCACTTTGTTCCAGCCCACAGTAAGCTTGTCTGTAATGCTTGAGCATTTGGATCTAACTGCTTGGCTTGCTTCTCCGAAAGCGCAACGACATCAAATGTTCTTCAATGTGTTGTGAAGATTCGCGTCAGCCGCTTCAACGCATTGTGAAAAAGAATATGCTGGATCTTGTTATCTCTTGCCCTGGCTAAGATAAGAGGATGACTAATTGTGCAAGCGAAGTATTTTCGGCTGTCTGAGTTGTTTCATCCACTCAAGTTGTACGGTTTAAGTATGCAGAATGCCCACGTGTGTCATACTCGAGCATCAGCCATCAACGTATTCAAGAAGTGGCTTCTGCACTTTTCAACACTCTCGAGCCGCAAACTTAATCGTATCAAGCGAGATTAAGGGGGACGTTTTCTGTGGACAGATCCTTCGGGAGTGGCGTACTTATTAACACGTAAGTAAGACAACTGTTTTCTTCTTCGTGTGCAACAGCTTTTAAATCACTGAGTCAAGGTGTGTTGCTGTCTGTTCAACGTCGTACAACTTGAAGAGTTGCCTGGCTCTGGATGAACGGCTGACTTCGAATCCCAATTGTCAACTCTTACAAGGCAGGATCACGTATAGTTTTCTTGCAGATTTTGCCAAAGTGTAAGTGTATCCAACAGCCAAACCTCAGCTGTAGCCGGTTGAATCATGCAGCTGCTGCGTTCCATAGCTAGTCAGTTGCTTTTTGTGATATTCATTAGAAGCTTTTGACATGTGCTCTTTGACAGAGATCATAAGCATGATATCCACTCCGATCAAGGTGGTCGGTTGTGAACAGTTTTGTTTTCAAAAATGTGCACCTGCTCCTTCATGTAACAACTGGTTTCGAGGAACTTAAACCAGTGGGATTGATTTGCCATGTCAGTGTCGCCTCCCGTGGTATCTCCCGCGCAGGGCAGTCACCGGGATGCGTCTGCATCCGCTTCCTCGTAGCCGTCGACGTCTTTTTGGAACTCACTCCTCGCAACTTTGCGACCGTGAATCCGCCCCCCCTCCCCCAGATGAGAGGGATGGCGATGATGCTGTCGACATGGAAGGGGGCACAGCCAACCACAACCACAAGACCGAAGGGCAGGGGGGAACCCACACCACAGGGGACCACAGCAGGAACTACCATGGGGTGGAGGGAGGGGCCTAGCAGCGTAGGTAAGAAAGGCGGTAGGTAAGTGTAGATAGGTAGGTAGGGAAGCGCACGGCGAACACGCGACGTTCTCGCCTTCACTGCTGTATCACGCATGGCAACTCCGACAAGTGTCATTCATAGCGGCGCGTATGTAAGCGTGAATATTAGGTGTATCGGCCGGTGTCCATGAATTTTCTGATCGTATGAGACTCGATATCTCGCCAACTACAACTTCGTAGGTAGACGACAGGGGAACAGCAAACAGTTGGTCGCCCTGCTCACCCCAACAATCCTACTGCCTGTGTGTTGCAAGATCGACCGCAGCTACCACACCTGCAGAGAGTCGACACGGAATTCAATCTCCAAGATCCTCATGGCCTTTCTGTTCCAACCGATTAAATCCCGAGATCTGGTAACTTGATTCGGAAGAGCATGTTACTACTCCTTCCGGCTTTGGTGAAGAGATGAGCCCTAAACTTTTCTCGATGGGGCGATTTGAAAACCTTTTCCGAATGACCCGCCGCGAGCGCAATTAAGTTTCTACGATTCGGTATACATTTGCCAGGCAAGACTTTACGCCGTACGCATTGACCCATAACTCGTAATCGCCGGGTAGAAATTAGTAAACTAAGATATTTTCATGGATCGCTGCTTTCCGACATTTTCTCGAGACGGGCAGCGAATGAGAGAGATGAGGGAACATGCAGTAGATCTTGGGGATGTTGCGGAACGTAGTCGTAGCTGTGCAGTTTTGGGCGGGGGTGACAGCGCCCCGCCCGGGCATTGTCGCACATCTTCCGCATCAGGACGAACCGCTGGAAAAGGCTCAGGCAGCCCGAAGCTTCAGGCGAAGCGCCTAACGAAGCAAACAGGCTCTGCTTGTGGCTGACGGGATCAGGATGGCACGGAGGGTGCCAAACAGCCGAAATGGTGGCCTTCTCAGTACAGACGTGTAAACATCGAAAATCTCTGGACGCAAAGGCTCCAAAGAACCTAAAGCCCTGATTTCAATCCTCCTTGACCCTATACCCGGATACTCGAAAACCAGCGACACCGAGCCTTGACCTTTACCTCGAACGTGAACCCGCCGAAAGACACCGAATACCCGAAGCCCCGAGCACACTCATAGCTACGAAGCCTTAGGGTTGAAGGAGTGATGGTAGCAGTAGCAGTAGCAGAGGTACAGGAGATTGTTGTCATGACGGTGGTGGCACCGGTGGTACTTGCATATGATCGTCGGCGTTGGGAACCATAAGATGACAACAACTTTCGAATACACGGGAATGTCGGGTTCTTGATCCAAAATGTTTTCCTTCGGGTACAGTGAGCAACCAGATGAGCACACGCCCACCCACACCAAGACACAGGCCAAGATCACTTCAAGCAGTCCACTACGCGGCTGTACTTCCTGGCGGACCGCATGGTGCAGATCCCAGTTGAGAGTTTGGCTCCAGGTTGTCATAAGCCGTGCACCACGAATCCCAGTTACAGCCAAACATCTGGAGCTCCCTCAGAGTTTTGGTGGTAGCATGTGGTAGCTAGCATTGTCAAGATCCTTTGGAGAGCTCCGGGACTCCACCGGACTCCGCCTTCCGAGATTCTGTTGGGGGGACTTCCCATGAGTCGGTAAGGGTGGCAGCTGCTTCTGTTTATACATTTTGGCTTGGAAGAAGCACATCTATGGGGAGAGGCAGAGGGGATTGAGAGGGACTTCTTGAACGCCTAGAGTTTCTTTGGATGTCGACTCTGTAGTGGTAGGGTAGGATTGTGTGGCTGAGCATTTGTGGCTGGTCCAGAGACCTCGGAGCCCTTAGCGTTAGCATGAAGGTATCACAACAGTCCTGAAGCACTCGGCTTGAGCATCATTGCCGAAGCTCCAGGTGGAAACTACTATGGACATGTTCCGCCAGCCGCGAAAGATGGTGCAGGCGACCACAATTCCATGACTTTTCCGGAAGAGGGCGGCAGGGTCCTCGATTTGGAAGCTTCTAGGCGTCGAGTGACAATCGCTACTACTGCCACCGCGTTCACCAGTATCACGACTGCCGCAACCGCCTCCATTTGCAAATGTTGTGACTACTCACTGCTGCTTTTTCTCCTTGCTGCTCATACTGTTGCTCCTGCTGCAGTTGTGCCGGGCGCTACAGCTGCCGCTGCTCCTCTCAAAGTTGAAGCTGCCACTGTGCTGCCGCTATCTGCAGTTTGTTCCTCATTGTAGCCATCTTGAAGCCATCACCTGCCCTGGTTGCCCAAGCCTGCCGCATATGACAAAAAACCTATAAAACACATGTATGCCAGCTTCTATCGTACGATAGTTCTAGACTCTTGGAGGAGATCTCCGGTTTGGGACTGCGGCACGTTGGCTACGGCATCCCCACGGAGCTTTTCGGGCCGTGCCTTGGGCACAGGGAATTCTCGGACTTGGTGGGGTTAGGTTTAAGAGCGTCCAGGGTTCTAGGACTTTGAAAGGTGGGGTTTAGGGTTCTAGGACTTGGTCGGGCTAGGTGAGGCCCCTGGGTATTGTGGAAGCAAGGTATGTGTCGGCTGGAGTGGATGTCGTTCGCTCCATGACGACCGACGAGAATGCCCTGTCTGGTTTTCGTTGGTCCCTGACGCTCGTGTCCAAGATTCTGGTGCGGGCGGTTAGTGAGGGTGCAACCCTCGTTATGAGAGCCATCAACACCAACCAGGTGCACCGTGCCTTGTGTCATGGGATCTATATATATATATATATATTATACTATATCATATTATACTATAGTATATTTGGACTAGGAGTCCTAGAATCCTTGATTCTTGTAGGAGCTGGCCTTGAAGAAAGCCATCTCCATCGCTCCGCGAGGGAAGCGAGCCACGGAGCTCCTGAATATCTCCGTAGGCACCGGGAGATGAGGGGAGGGTCCTTCGCTTCTTTTGCCTCGGGAGTTTGGTTTGCCGTGGTCATGTTCTGAACCCCGCAGGCACTCAGTCCATCTCTCCGCTATTTTGGTCGATCGAAAGTGGCGCACTAAACAGTGCGCGAGCAATGATCGTGGACTTGCTGACCATTCGCGCAGACAGGGACGTCTACTACTATGGTTGTGACGACCTTTTCACCAGGCATCCAGACATTATCCAGCGTTTATGCAAAGACGCGCCAACGTTGTTGTGGACTTTGTTGGACGGCCTAATCTGGCGATCTCGACTCACCTACCAGGGTTTGCGCCGCGTGAACTACTATGTCAAGCATTTAGTGCAAGATTTGGACGGAAACAGCAACCAGGCTCTTGAGTGGCTGGCCGAGCACAAGGATCCCAAGATAATTGTTCACCCAGTCGTCGTGCTCTTTGCGGACCTGATTTGGAATCGGCTTGCAATGTACCACTTCTTGCTTGGAAGATGCTACTTCCTCTTTGCCTTGTGCGTTTTCGTCACCAGCCAAGCGCTCCTCTTCCGACATGATGGGACAGAGGCGCTTGAGGAGAACATAGCTCGCTTTGTTTGCAGGTGCTTCCTGTACTTCGGGAGCCTGACCAAGTTGTTCTACAACCAATGCAAGCTCTTCTACTCCGACATGAAGACTAGAAATCTGATGTGGTTTTACCTATGTCCAGTTCCGAGATATTTGAGCAGTCCTCAGCATGCAGGAAACCTGTTGTTGGTGATCTTGCTGATTCTGATGTACGTCGAGGAGCCCATTCTTTGGTGTGGCATCTTCACCACTGACAATCCTGTGGGGCTTTTGTTCACGAACAACTGCGAGGCATCAGAGCCGATTAAGGATCTCTATTCTATCTTCTCTTGCTTTGCAATGCTCCTGTATTGGATTTTGTTGATGGACTTCACCCTCTTCTCCATGAAAATCTCGGCCTTCGTGCTCGTGTGTGGCCACGTGCTTGCGGATGTAGGCCTGTTCGTGCTCGCCATTGTGTTCTTGGTCCTGGCCTTCGCCACGGCGATAAGCTCCCTGAACCATGGGCTTCAAAACTTTACTGGCATCGACCCTTGGTTAGTCAGTCTGGTGCAGATGACCCTGGGGATGTTCCCTGCAAGAGGCTACGACGACTTCCAGTCAGAGGTTGCTGTCCTCACGGCCGTGTCCGTTTTCGTGGCGGTGGTCAGCATTTTCCTTCTTAATCTTCTCATCGCCCAGCTCAATCAATCATACCATGATGTTTTCGAGGACATGCAAGGCTTCGCCCGCTTGAACCGTGCCGGTGTCATTGCCGCAACACTGGAACAGGTACCCAGGAAGAACTGGATGAAGTTCCGGGAAAGTCTTCAGTTCGAAGAGCGCCTGGAGTTCAACGAGGGGGACGTGGGCCTAGCAGGTGGGATTCAGGTGACGGAGGCTGCGAATATCAACCCGCTCACAGAGGACACCATCCGGCGGTATGGTGGTTCTACGGCCCCCACCATGCCATGGCCACAAGAGCACACCGAGGAGAGAGATAGAGAGAGTGAGAGAGGGAGGGCAGGGGTTGAAGACTTTAAGAAGCTCCTTCCCAAATTAAAGAAGCCCCTTTCCGGGCTCCCTCTTGCTCAGGACACTCAGGAGGAGGACAAGTTCGAGAGATTGGAGAAGCTTGTCCTCCGTTCCAGCAAGAAGAGGAAAGGTGGAGGCAGCAGCGATGCTTCCGGCTCCTCCTATGCAGCCGACTCGAGCTCCCAGGCAGGTCACTCAGATCACAGCTCAAGGAGTTCCCAAGGCAGCTCCTGACAGGAAAGTGCCCCCAGAGGCCTCTGAGAAGTTTCACCAACACAGTACCGATCTTTTGCGCCAAAGGTGCCTACCGATCCCCCGATCCACCTGCATCCGCTCGCTTGAGCCTAATTTGCGAAAGCCCGCACTAGGGTGCCCACAGACCGCCCAGACATGTCCAGACCTCCACACCTCTCGCTTAGACGTCTCCCGAGACCGTCGGACTGTGGGAGATCCCTTCAGGTCCCCACCTGCTAAGTAGCAAACGGGAATGCCCTGCAGAGGCATGTAGACAGTTCGCAAAAAACGCGCGCGGGGGCAGCGGCACTCCCCAAAAAGGGCCGAAGTCGAAGTCGGAGTCCTCTGCTGCAGGCCCTGTGCTGAGCCAGCCACTGCAGCACTCGGCCAATCTCCCTTCCATGGTAGGGGCCTCGTGGCTTCCCGTTTTTACAGGGAGGGGGTCGGGCCAAGCCCAAGGTGGAGGGCTTTCGCGTCGTGGACCAGGCGCGCGAGATCGGCAGTTACTATGGTTCCTTGAGAATCAAAAGGACATGCTGACGTACTTGTAGATCCCAGAATCCTTTCTGACTCGCCAGGCCTGCCCGATCCTCGATGAGAACGGCTCCCAGGCGTCCACACTCTTGGCTGTGGGCGCAATGGCAGGGAACCGTCTGAGTCTGCTCACAGTCGCCGCCCTCCGACATCGATCGGAGAGCTGAGTTCGCAGGTCGGCACTCTCAGACTCCTCGCCTTCCTGGAGGCCAGGCCGAGATGTGTCACAGAGTAACACCGGGTTGGGATGGGATCGCAGTGTGAAGGGGATACTGGGAAGGAGCACGCAGTGCTCATCCTGTTTGAATATCCCATGATGACACTTGTGAAAGTCACTGTGATGATGACAGTGTGATGATTATATTATATGTTCCATCGGCTGCTGCTCATTCTGATGCCGATGCTGCTGATGATGATAGTCTTGGGCGACGCCGGCGGGACGACGACCACGACCACGACCACGACCACGAGAATGACGATGATGATGCTGCTGTTGGTGCTGCTGCTGATGATGATGCTGCTGATGATGATGATGATGTTGTTTTTGTGATGATGATGATGATGATG